AGTTTAATTCGAGTTCTCGTACGACTGATCTGATAGATGCAGCTTTTAATCGCTGAATCCATCGGTCTGAATTATCCACGAAAATTTCGGGATCAAATTCAAACTCGTTCAATTTGAAGCTCATACCCTTTCTAATCATGTATGAATAATGCTTCTTTTGAATCTCGAGTTCTATCGGCAGTACACCTGCCATCACTGGTAACACTTCGGTTGGTGACGTTCTATATGCACCAGTGACACCGATTAAAATAAATCGTTGGAGAGCTTTCAATTGCCTCCAGTGCTTAGCGTTGAGCATTTCCATCCATGCTGCAGCCCCATAGGTGATTATCGCAACGAAAAGACCTTTGTATATTATTCTCATCGCTGAAAACTTTATACCCCAGTCTCTCCGCGCTAATCTCCGTAGCTGAGAGAATAGAGCTCTACATTTCAACACCGTAGAATTTATGTGTTCATCGATTTTGATACGCTTCTCGCCAGTAGCTAGTGTAACTCCAAGATACTTGAAGTTTTTCACTGCTTTGACTGGTTTCTCAGACATGAGAATTCTCGGAGGTCGATTCCTGTCTAAGTTTCCTTTCGTCAACATTATGACAGTCTTCGACAGTGACAGTTTCATTTTATGCTCGTTGCACCATTTCTCAATGATACTGAGCACTTGTTCTCCTTTTCGTTCAATTTCTCGTCTCGTTTTTCCGCGGATCAGGACGGCGCCGTCGTCTGCATAAACGACGATTTCAAAGCCCGCTTCTCTGACCTCTATTATCAAACCATCAAACACAGTGTCCCACAGCATTCCTGCCAGCACTGAACCTTGTGGTGCACCTTTATTCACTACACGTTCAACGTGACCATTTCTGGTCTGGAATTTGACTCTCCTACCATTTAAGAAGTCTTGAATGATTCCAAGAACTCCCGGAGGACAGTCTTTTTCCTTTAATTCATGAATAACATCAGGCCACCACAGGTTGTTAAACGCACCGACAATATCAATGAAGATAGCGCCGGCGTGCTTTTCAACCACTTCGCTGTTAAGGCGCAAAAACGTTCGAATAGCATCTTCCGTGCATCGGTTTGGCCTAAAACCAAACTGCATTTCGGATAGCTTAGGTTCCACAACCTTTTTTAGTCTTTCTAACGTAAGGCTTTCCAGTATTTTTCCCATTATAGGAAGAAGACATACTGGTCGGTAGGATGCAGCATCCATCGGATCTTTGTCGTTCGATTTGAGGAGAGTTACAACGTTTGCACTCTTCCACTCATTAGGGAATATTCCATGTTTTAGACAGCCGTTGTACAAAGCAATTAACTGTTCGTTCAACACGGACCATGAGTTCTTCAACATCACAACTTCAATGGCGTCCCAACCGGGAGCTTTTCCGTTTTTCAGTTTCTTTATTGCTCTATACACTTCATTGCCTGTAAAAGGTGCGTCCTGCATCCCCGAGAGTTCACTCGGTTCACGCATTCTGCTCCTCTTAAGACTTTGAAGTTCATTCTCTCCTTCTTCCGTATCATAACAGAAGAGATTATCAAGAAGAACTTCAGCTGTTTCTTTCCAGTCCTGGGTTTCCCCGGATACTGTTCTGATTGTATTCATTGCACACTGTGTTCTGAGCTTGCCACAAGAAAACTTGTAGGCAAACCCCCATGGGTCCTTCGACGTTTCGGTGATGAAGTTTTTAAAACTCTCTTTCGAGGTCTCCTTCATTCTACGTTTCAACTTTTTCCGTGTATTCCTGTACTCAATTTTAAGTCTATCTCTACTCTCAGGCTCTTTAGTTCTCTGGAATTTCCTTCTAGCCTTGTTCGTAGCAGTCTTAAGATCTGTTAGCTCCTGTGTCCACCACCTGACACCAGGGCCTTTGTCTCTACGCATTGGCATGGATTTTCTTCCCGCAAGGGTGATAATCCTTCTGATTTGCTTTGCAAGATTAATGACATCGAATTTATTCTCACACTTCGTGTCGAGCTCTTGACGGTTGTCAAGAAGTGTTTTATTGAACTTTTCCCAGTCAGCTTTATTGGTGTTAAACCGTTTGCCTCCTAGGTGTTCTCGTTCAAGATCATCGTTCCTCTTTACAGATTCGAGATCTATAAAAATAGGTCGATGATCGCTTTCACACCAATTTTCAATTACTCTCCACTCTTTAACGTGTCTAACAACTTGGCTCGAGCAAATTGATAAGTCAATGTTACTCTCGCCAGCCGTAGATGAGAACGTTTTCGGTTGGTCAATTTCGTTCAACACGTAGAGGTTCATTTCATGAATGAACTCTTCTACTTTCTCGCCTTTTTCATCAAGCTGATCAGAGAACCAAGTCGGAGACTTTGCGTTCGAATCAAGGCAAAGGATGATCCTTTTCCCTTTTAACAGGTTAAGGATCACTTTCAATTCCTCTAAATACTTTTCCACTCCATGGGAGTATTGGAGATATGCGGATACAACGTATACGTCAAAGAACCCATTGTCCACTTGTATGCAGACAATATGACTGGTACTCACTTGGCTAAGCCTCATGACAGTCAGATTTTTATCAAATACAACTATTGCAGACCATGGTTGCTCATCACGCTTCGAACCAATTATAGTTTTAGCCGCAAGACCAAAACCATAAACTTTGCCTTTTGCAGAGTAAGGTTCTTGAACGAGAGCTATTTGAATCCCATTTTTATCCGACAACTGGCGTATGGCAGAACTAGTGTTCTTGCCTCGGCCAGCATTTATCTGCATCAAACGCAAGCCACGTATCGAAATAGGACTAGGTTGTGTTGCCATAGTCGGTTCGGCTTAGTACCCGTTGTACAGCAGCCTTTTGAGCTGGACAGCTTTTGCTGCCAGCTCTATGGTCCGACTTTTTCTTCGCCTTCTTGCACGCAGGGCAAGTCGGCGATTTATTTGCTGCCTTATCAGGGCATTCACTAGCTTTGTGACCCTGTTTAGAACAGAAGTTACAGCTAAGTTCCTTCTCCTTGCAGAATTTCTGCACATGGCCGTAACACTGGCACTTGAAGCACCGTGTCGCGGCCGTGAAGTCTTCTACTCGGCAGGCGGACCAACCGATGTAGACTCGAGACTTATTGGTACTTCGGAGTAAACCTCTCATTTCAGGGGTTACCTCTGCAACCCAATTCGTGAGAGCTTCTTCTCTTTTTCCCATCCTGAACTTTAGTTTAAATGATTCTTTAAACTCAGCTGCGCTCAGGTCGGACTTAATGTCGTTCTGCTCCATAATGGCAGCAGCGAATTCATCCTCGTTCAACTTAGATGGTACGTCATAGAGAAGGATTCTCGGCTTTGCAGCTCCTGCCTTCTTGACTTCGTATCCATCTGATTTCAGCTTTTCGTTCAAGAGAATTTTGTTGAGGTCTTGGTCAGTGACCACCTCAACGGCAATTCCTCCCTCACGCATCATGCGTACCCCTCGAACTTGAAGCTTCTCTTTGGCTGGGTTCACCAGCTCGAGAACTCGCTTCTTCGTTTGCTCACTTGTCTCGCCCTTTCGACATTCAGGGGCTCTTATTAGAGCCACCTTGGCGAGTTGTGGTGGTGCCTTCTTGACACCACCACTCAAGTTCGCTACAGGTTTAGCTTTCGCGGGTTTAGCGCTACTTACTGCACTTGCGTAACTTTTCTTCATCGGGGTTGCATTTTCAAGAGCCTTCTTGACGGCAACCTCGGTCAACACCTCACTGTTTGTCGTTTTTTCGACAATCACTCCCCTTAAGTAGCTGTTCTCACACATCAGCTTGTTGATGATGTTAGAGAGCACTTCCACGTGCTCCATCACCTGGCAGCTGACGTCTTTCGAGACCTCAGGAGACTCTTTCAAGAGGTTAAGGAGGGCCGTTTTGGTTGTTTTCGCCTTCAACCTTTGGCTCTGCTCCTTTTTCTCAACTTTCAAAATTGCTTCCTCGGTTTCCTTTTCAAGGGGAACCGAAGAAGCCAAGTCGTCCATGACAGACGACTTGAGAGTTCCCGAAGCCTGAGATTTCACCTTCTCAGGGCTTGTGAGAGTCTTCGACTCTTTCTTCGTAAGCTTCTTCCTCCTTCGCGAAGCAAGCTCGAAGCCATCACTCTCAGACGTAATGTCTGACGAGCTGATGCTCAAGTCTCGCCTGAAGGAGGAAAGCTTCCTTTTCTCCGTACACTTTATCGACATTTCGATATCATTTGGGTCTAGGAACCCGGAGGAGTTTGGTGACGTTTTGGAACATGTTTCCTTAATTGTCGTCATTTTGCATGAGTTTTCAAATGAGGGATGGGCCAACTTCGTCCACTCATTTCAAGGTAACAATACTCAAAGTCAAGTCTTATCAACCTTCTCGTCTGTTCAGGATGTGAATGCTCAAAGTAGCCGGTGGACCTCGGAGCAGCCCCCGATTCAGCACAGCAGGGACCTAGTTCGTGCGCCACACGACACTACTGTAACCGTCGGATTTTCGACGCATGGTCAGGCAGCCAGGTTAGCCGGCTAAGAAAACCCGGGCCTGTATACTGTACGCCAGCCAGGGACGTCATACCCTGTTTCTACTCTGTATCCTCACCGGGACAAGAGAACATTCTACCATTCCAGATTTCCAGTTTGATTCGACAGGGCTCTCTGTGAGCATGTCCCTATCCATAGGCTTAAGAAGGTAACCCTTAAAGGCGTTCCCTCAAAGCCAACGTCCATTACCATTATGTCTCTCGGCTTCTTCACTGTTGACACCTATAGACTTTTGGAACGCCCGCCGGGCGGCACAGCTCTGCCAGCTCGGGTACCCCGGGAGCGCTAGGTCCCGTAGGGAGGACAGGTCCTCCCACCCTGGGGGAAGTAGATAGGGACAGAATTGTGCTGAGTCGATCAAACCGACTAGGATTCCTGGGCCCATGTAGGGCTATACTCCTGATGTTAAAGCAATATCTACCTTCTAGCGAAACCACTACCAGCATGGAGAAACGGCGGTGATTCAGCGAGCATCCTCACTACCGATGCTCCATGGGGAGCGGGTATGGAAAAACTGCCGCTATAAGGTCCGTAGGAACCAAAGCGGCGTTAAAAGAAGACCGGGTGCCCTTGCGGGAGGAGACGGTTAGCAATGTTTCCCTTCGCCCGTGCAAGATTCGAGAATCTTGAGCGGGAGAAGGGAAACAAAGTACCCAGCGGGGACCTCGTGGAGGTTCCATCTCCCGAGCTAAGCTCCACCCACCGATGTTCTGGTAGGCCTGAAAAAAAAAAAAAAAAAAAAAAAAAAAAACACATATTTACAATATTTACAAATTCCCACCACCAATAAAAATACCCAAAGAACAAATAACAATTTTTTTTTTTTTTTTTTAAAAGTGCCCTCCCAATTAGTTCCTTTAAAATTACCCGCAGTTGAGTGACACCTTCACCAAGAAAACAACAACTAACAATTTTTTTTTTTTTTTTTTTTTTTTTTTTTTTTGTGCCCTTACTCGAGCTAAGACCCTCTCTGGAGGGACCGAGCTCGAGGAAGGGTTACTTCCTTTAGGGAAGTCATGATGCGAGTGGAGTGTTACCTTCGAGACGCCGCCGCCACTTTGCCTCCTTCGCGTCTATGACGCCGCGCGCAAATGCCTCAAAATAAGGATACCCCTCTCGACTGACCAGCTTCTGGGCTGATGAAGGCCACCTTATTTCCTCGCCTAGTCCCGCGCGCAAGACACCACGTTCCGCGGTAAATACGGGGCACTCTGCCAGGACGTGCATCATGGTTTCCTCAGGTGCGCCACACGAGCAGGTCGGACCGACACCGAGACTGAACCCCCAGAGTTTGGAGGCGAAGTCTCCGTGTCCAGTCAGCATCTGCGACGTGTGGTACCCCGGAGAAATCCATGTGCTTTTCAAACGACGCTGAACGTCGGGGATCAGCGTGTGCGTCACCCTTCCGACAGCGTCGTTTGTCCAACTCTCCTGCCAAATACGGAGGGTTTCTCTTCTAACCCTACCCTTGATCCCTCTTCCTATCTCCTCCTCGTACACGGACATATTGCCGTGTCGGAATCCCCATCGTCTGCGGATGCTATACAGCGCTAGCCTTTCACGCAGAAGGAGACCTACGGGCAAAACCCCAGCGAGCACGCATAGCGCGCTACTCGATGTTGTAGAGTATGACCTAGTCATCGTCAGCAGTGACTGTCTCTGTGCTGTCCTTAGTTTTCGTAAGTCCGTCTGTGTCGCAAGGTCTGCCCATCCAGCCGCTGCGTATCCAGCAATAGCGGGGAAAACACCCCGGTAAATCGTATTTAACGTCCGGTAGTGTAATCCCCATTTGCTGGGAGCGGCCCGTCGGATGGCAGCCATCTGTCGTTTGAGTTTGTCGGCTGTCAGCGTACAGTGCGTCGTAACCTTGAGCCCCTCGTCGATATGAACACCAAGCAATCGAACACTTTTCTTTAGTGAGATTGACTTGGTGCCCAATTTGACGATAGGGGCCCGTTTGCTCATATCAGAGGGGTATCTCCACTCTCTGTTCTTGTTCGAGCGTCTTCTGTTTCGGGCAGCCTCTCTTGGCTAGTCCATTTATTGCCAACGGCCACCTTATGTTGTCAAAGGCCCCGGTAATGTCGAAGAGGAGGGCTAGGACGTACCTCTCCTCCTTCTCCGACACTATCCTACGGATTTCAACAATGGTGTCCTCGCAAGACTTGCCTTTTACAAAGCCGAATTGTTGTGTGGACAACATATTCGGCCCGAGGGCAGTCTTTCTCAACCTTCCCAACAGCAGGCGCTCGAATATTTTTCCAAGAACAGAAAGCAGACACACCGGTCTGTATGAGCGCACCTCGGTTAAGTCTTTGTCCCGTCCTTTAGGAATGAACCACGATGAAGCTGTTTGCCCCCATTCTGCGTAACCCACGCACCTGGATTCCCTCCTTTGTCGGATTGAACGAGGAGGTCAATGCTTTTCTTACTTCGTCGCTCGTGGGGTTCGAGAACGAGGGATCTGGTGTGATCAGAACCGCGGGGGGGAGGGGCTTAATAATAGCGTTCGTTGCGCGGTTCTGATCAGGCTTTTTGCCTTTTTTATCCGCTTTACGTCGCGACACTACGGTGAAGCCATTCCCGGAGGGTCCCTCTGTAGACGGGATACCAGCGCGGGAGGGGGAAGCCCGTACCGCAGTGCGAACCAATTCGCCTGAGGTGCGTGCACATCCTTGCATAGTTGTTATTTTCGGTGGGGGCATTCCCCCTCCAGCGCTAGTTCCCGTCGCTGCTGCGGTAGCATAAGAGCGGGCTGTGGTTAACCCTTTCACAAGCGTGTTGGGGGGAACCACAGTACGCACTTTTTCAATTTCACAGAGGCGACCCTCAAGGTTCGCGACGTAAAGCAGGAGGTCGTCCACAATCTCGTGGAGGTCTTCCGTTCTCCCCAAACTGGCGGCCGATTGTTGTCGAGTGAGACCATTTGTCTCTCGTAAACAATAGGCCGTCATTTCCCTCTTTAGATTGAGGGCACGAGCGCGAAGTACTTCCGGTCCCGATAAGATGAGGGAGGGTGGGGGAACTAAGGGTCCCGTCGATATTTCCGTACTGGCAGGGGTGAATTTTTTGGCCAGATGGCCCGTACCGCCGCGGGAACTGTCCTCGTCGGATGAGGAGGGGAGGGGGATGTTTTTCGCACCACTTGTGCTTGCACATCCACCCCCCGATTTTAATAAATGGTGCTTGCGCTTACCTTTTGGGAGCACAGCTCCGGGACCGGCGACCTGGCCTTCCTTGGGTTGGGGGTTTACCACTTCCACCTCGGAGTCGGATAGCTCAGTCCAGTCGAGAGGGCGTGTCGTCTCAGGAGGCGCTGTGATTGGCGGCGGCTTGCACGCCTTCTCCTCAGCGGCAGCAGCTTCTTCGCTCTCTCCCACCATATTGGAAAGAGAGAGAGGGAGGGCACACTGAAAATAAGAGAAAGGAAAGGGAAATTACAGGGAGAAAACACAAGAAAGAGCAGCCGGACACGTCCGCACTGCTCGACAGCTCAAAGGCAACTAGTAGATAGGGACAGAATTGCGCTAGAGTCGACAAAGCCGACTGGGATACCTGGGTCCTTAAGGACTATACTCCCGATGTTAAAAGCTTATCTACGTTCCAACGAAAACACTGCTGACCTGGAGAAACGGCGGTGATTTGGCAAGCCTCCTCACTACCGATGCACCATGGGGAAAGAGGATGGAAAAATTGCCGTTGTAAGGTCCTTAAGGACCAAAACGGCGAAGAAGGCCGGGTGCCCTTCCGGGAGGAGACGGTTAGCATTGCTTCCCTTCGCCCGTGCAAGATTCGAAAATCTTGAGCGGGAGAAGGGAAACAAAGTACCCAGCGGGGACCTCGTGGAGGTTCCGTCTCCGAGCTAAGCTCCACCCACCGATGTTCCGGTAGGCCTGAAAAAAAAAAAAAAAAAAAAAAAAAAAAAAAAAAAAAAAAAAAAAAAAAAAAAAAAGAATGGTCTTTATCATGCTTGCCGGACTAATCTCACGACTAGTCTAGCGCAAGCAGAGTTTGCCATGACATAATTCTTTCCCACCGGACCACTATTTCTAGTGGTCATTGTGGGGAGAATGTTGCCCTCCTATTTATTCGCTCATTAATTTTATCTGCTGGACCAGTGTTATACTGGTCAGGCGCAGTAAAATTGTTGACGCCGTGTTCACTCTATTCTTGCCTGCTGGACTAGCCTCACGACTAGTCTGGCGCAGGCAGATAGATATCGCCCTGGCATTATTCTTTCCCACCGGACCACTATTTCTAGTGGTCAATGTGGGAAGAATGTTGCTTTCCTTAATATCCGCGCATTAACCTCATCTGCCGGACTAATTATATATTAGTCAATTGCAGATGGGTTGTTGCCACCGTATTCATTCTATTCTTGCCTGCCGGACTAGTCTCACGACTAGACTAATGCAGGCAGATAGATAACGCCCTGGCATTATTCTTTCCCACTGGACTACTATTTCTAGTGGTCAATGTGGGAAGAATGTTGCCCCCTTATTATTCGCGGATTAATCCTGCCTGCCGGACCAGTCTTGCGAATGGTCGAGTGCAGGTGGATTTGCGCATTGGTATAAATCTGTCCCGTCGGACCATATTTCCATATGGTCGTATACGGGACAATTATTACCATTGGGTATTGTTCTCTCTCGCCGGACTCCTTTCGAAGTCATGTTGCGGGAGGAACGTTACCAGCTTCGCTTCCGCGTCGCCATCGCGCCTCCTTGCTATCCACCACCGACTTGGCGAACTTCTCGAAGTGGGGATAGCCGCGCAGGCTCAGCAAGCTCCGAGCCGCCGCCGGCCAGCCCACGGCCTCACCTATGCCGTCGCTCAAGGTTTGGCGCTCGGCAGCGAACTTCGGGCATTCAGCCAGGACATGCATCATGGTCTCCTCCGGGTCCCCACACGAGCAGGCAGGCCCGTCACCGAGACTAAAGCTCCAAACTTTGGCGCCAAAGTCTCCGTGACCAGTCAGCATCTGCGACGTGTGATACCCAGGGGAGATCCACTGGCATTTCAGGCGACACTGAATGTTGGGGATCAGCGTATGCGTCACCCTTCCAACAGTGTCACCTGTCCAGGCCTCCTGCCACATACGGAGGGTCTCCCTCCTCACCACACCCTTCGTCCTTCTGTCGACGTTCTCCGCGAGCACAGAAAGTTCTCCATGACGGAATCCCTTGCGTTTCCGGACGCGGTACATCGCAAGCCTTTCGCTCAGGTAGAGCGACACCGGTAAGACACCTGCGATGACACATAGCGCGCTGCCTGATGTTGTGGCATAGGCCCTGGTCAGCATCAACAAAGCCTGTCTCTGTGCCGTCCGTAGTTTTTGTAGGTCCTTGTTCGTAGCAAGGTCAGCCCATCCGCCAGCGGCGTAACCCGCAATGGAGGGGAATACACCCCGGTACAGCATTTTTAGCGTCCGGAAGTGTAGTCCCCACTTGCTGGGAGCCGCCCGTCGGATGGCTGCCATGAGTCCTTTTAGTTTGTCTGCCGTCTTTACACAGTGAGTCGTGACCTTGAACCCGTCGTCAATATGGACGCCTAGAAGCCGAACGCTCTTTTTAAGTGCGATCGACTTCCCGTCCAGTTTGACGACTGGGCCCCGCCTGCTTTCGTCAGAGGGGTATCTCCTCTCCCTGTACTTATTGGCATTCCTTCTGTTACGGGGTGGACTGAATTTAAGGTATACCATCTCCGTTTTTGACTTCGACAACTGGAGGCCATTGGCGTCGCACCATTGAGATACTGTGTCAACAACCTCCTGGGCTCTATCCTGAAGTTCTCTTCTCGAGTCTCCAGTGACAATTACCGACAAGTCATCCGCATAAACTGCAAACGACTTGCCGAGCAATTCCTCAAGAGTCTCGAGAAGTCCATCGAAGGCAATGTTCCACGCGCATGGACCAAGCACCGAGCCTTGTGGGCATCCCTTGGTGGATGCGCGCGAAACAGTGCCTCCATTCCAGGATAGGGTCATGACTCTTTCCTGGAAGAAGCTTCCCATGACCGCCAGGAGGTTGTTCGGACAGCGTCTCCTGGTGAGTCCATTTATCACCAATGGCCACCTTATGTTGTCGAAGGCACCGGTGATGTCAAAGAGGAGGGCAAGGACGTACCTTTCCTCCTTCTCTGACACTATCCTCCGGACTTCGACGATGGTATCCTCACACGACCGTCCCTTTACAAAGCCGAACTGCTGTGTAGACAGCATGTTCGGCCCGAGGGCGGTCTTCCTCAGTCTTCCCAACAGAAGGCGTTCAAAGATTTTGCCCAGCACAGGGAGAAGACATACCGGTCTGTACGAACGCACTTCGGTCAAGTCCTTGTCTCGTCCTTTAGGGATGAAACGGGGATTCCCCCTCTTCCAGTCCTTCGGAAAGCAGCCCAGCACAAGGCACGCGTTCACTAGTCGGAGGTATGGAGCCTCCAGCCACGGCCAGGCCAACTTCACCACCTGGACCTCGATATTGTCGAGACCAGGTGCTTTATTGGCCGGGAGGCGGCGGATTATGTTCCAAGCCTCCGTTCCAGTGAACGGCGCCTCGTCTTCCGCTGGCTCGTTGTGGGGGAACTCCCCGGCGTCAACGGCTGCTGCCTCTCCGTCGAGGGGAACGAAAGCTTTTAAGAAAAGCTCCGCACCCTCGGACATGGAAGAGACGGCCTCTCCGTTTTCATCCCTAACCGTGTTGAAAATAGTTTCTGTGCGCAGTCTGTTCGTTATTGTCTTGTAAACAATACCCCAAGGCTCGCGGTTACCGACATCCGTGACGAATTCACTCCACGATTGCCGGTTCGCGCGTCTGGCCTGTTTCCGAAGTTCATCCTTCTTTTGGATGAACACATCTCGCTTCTCCGCTCTTCGCTCAGGATCGGCCTCCCGCTGGTACATTCGCCTGTGTCGAAGAACTTCACGCATGAGAAGCGTGAGTTCCTCTGTCCACCAGGGATGCGACCTGTTGCGCCAGCGCTTTAGGGGCATGGATGCCCTGCAACTGTTGTGGAGAGCTTTTGTTAACTCCACGGTGTAGTCGTTTACGTCCTCCGGGGTACAAAGCTGAGAATCCGAGACGCGTTGCAGCTCCTCCGTTAGGGTTCGCTGGAACACGTCAGTCTTCACTTTCTCAACATTGTACCTCGCAGGACGTTGACCCACCTGTCCTGTTTCAGTCCGAGCGACACGCCGTGCACCGATTTTAATTTCGATGAGGGCGTGGTCGCTTGTTGTTTCGTCCGTACGTATGTGCCAGTCCAATATCCACGGCAGCAATCCGTCGGTCACCAGAGTTACATCAATACTCGAAGCCCCCCCTGAGCTCCGGAAAGTAGGCTCACTGCCTTGGTTGAGAACGTGCAATCCGTGGACGGCAATGCAGTCCTCCACTAGTTCACCCCTGTCACAAGTGGCAGGGGATCCCCAGAGGGTCGACTTAGCATTGACGTCAGCACAGATTAGCACGTTCCTACCTCTCAAACCTCGCATGATGTTCGCGAGGTATTCCAGATGCTTCATGGTGGGATCCGAGTACTGGAAATAAGCACTGACCGCGTAGAAGCTCACAGCGGGGCTGTGAACTTCGACGCAGGTCACGTGCTGATTACTCAGGTGACCGAGTTGAGTGAATGTCGTCCTGGGATTATACGCCAGGACGGCACTCCTCGGCGAATTGCAACCGTGAATTGTCGTTCGTCTTACAATGCATCCAAGCCCCGCAAGGTCTCCATCCCTGGTGGAGTATGGTTCCTGTACCAGCGCCAGGTCGATGCCTTCACTACGGATAATGCCACTCAACTGGGGTGATACTAATGCACCATTGCCCATGTTGAGCTGCAGTATCCGGAGCGGAGAAGGCTGATGTCTCGGGTGGGGTACTGTTGGGGTACGTCCGTAGTCAGTTTGTCGGTCGGTCTCATTGTCCATTGTCAGTCAATGTCTTGATGCTGCTGACCAGCCTATCGCGCGCTATTTTTGCACGTGGGCAGCCACTGCCCATAGGGTCGTGCTGACTCTGTCGGCCATCCCGTTTGCAATTCGCGCAAACGGGGGGGGGGCCCCGCTTTTCTTGTTGGGACAGAGCGCAGCTCGATGTCCCTTGTTGGCGCAGTGACCACACGTGTCCTCCGTGTCACCACAGTGCTTCTGGGTGTGCCCAAAGCCAAGGCAGCGATAGCACCGCATCACTCGCGCATGGTTGTGCACGGGGCACCGACTCCAGCCAACGTATACTCTGCCAGCTTTGCAGAGTACACTATGGAGGGAGGGAGACACAGAGGCCACCCAGCCCACCGTTGTACCATCTCTGGGCCCCACCTTGTAACGAGGAGTGAAGCTCCTCTTAAATTCGTCCAAGGATGGGGTCCGGAGAAGATCCCGGTTTAGGGCATAGATGGCCTCGGCC